TATTGGCTACCTTTGACAGAAAAAGGAGCTAAGTCTATGAAAACAATGTATCAGTTTAGCTAGTTTTGATTTCCAACGCATAAGGTGGCAGTTTATCATGATTCAGCTGAAATAATGAACTTTGTTCTGATTTTTATTGTTAATGTGTTTCTTCCTATTGAGCAGTGAAAGTTAATAAAACGTGTTACATGTCTTTTGGTTAAATATTTACTTACTGGAGGGTTTTTTGTTAGTGCTGCAGAGCCACAGCTAACAGCTAGCTCCTCACTTCAGCGGCTCTAACGGAGCCTGTGTCATTCAGCAGCGCAGCTGTTGCTCCTCCTTCACTTTTTACTGAACCATTGTTCTAACAATAGGGGGCGGGGGGAACCTACAAATTAATTCTTATTTTCTTCTTAGATAAATGGCGGATTTACTTTGTTCTTCGTTTCTATTGCCTTTTTTTATATTGATATTGTTTAAATACAAGGGTTTCTTTCATGATTTCTTTGGTTGAGGCAATTCTAGACTTTTCCAAGATTGGGGGGGTCCGGACCCCCGACCCCCCGGGATATACACCTACGGTGAAAGCATTTATATACACACGGCTCTTTGAAAGGTTTCAACTGTGTATATTCCTACATCAGCCTTTTTAAAATGTAATTAGTTCTATGTTTGTCTTTGACAGGTTTTTAGTTCGTGTTTCGTACCTGGAGATTTACAATGAGGAAGTGCGGGATTTGCTGGGCAAGGACCAGTTGCAAAGGCTTGAGGTAATGGGACATATACATTTTGCAATCAATTATAAAGGTTTTGCACAACGAGTTGTCTTAAAAGTCGCGGTTGTCATTTGTCTTTGCTAAACTCTAAATTTGGACTTGCAACTGTTGCAACTTTCAATGATAAAGATCTTTTTTTTTTTGTAGGTCAAAGAAAGACCTGATGTTGGCGTGTACATCAAAGATCTCTCTGGTTATGTTGTAAATAATGCTGACGACATGGACAGGATTATGACTCTCGGTCACAAAAATCGTAAGCACAACCACTGAATTGATAAGGAATCATGACAGCAACAGATCAAGCATGAAACACATATAACTGACTATCAACTCTTGTTTCTATGAGAAATTCTGCTGTTGTCTGAGGTTCACATGCACCTCGACTGGGCACAGATGTTATAATACATTTGGGGTTTGAATGGATTATTTGAATTATTTTTCTCGGGTGGGATAATGCAACTGCATAAAGGCTCAATGATGGTATCTGGCTGGATATTGGATAATTTTTTCCAGATAAAATTGATAGAGTTCCATTAAACTGGTTTGTTTGCTGAAACTGACCCAACTTTCAAGCCTAGTTCTTGCATTTTCTATACAGTTAAAGCCTGATTCCGGTAAGGCTATTCCAGAAATGTAAAGTTAGCCATCTTTATCCATGCCAAGACCAGTTTCAAGGTATGATTATTGTGTTGGAGCACCTAGCAGTATCCGCGTTTTAACCATGACATCCAGACTGTCACCCTCATACGTCGAATGTGGACATTTTTTTTCTTCTTGTTCACACTGTTGTGGTTAACATTTCACATGTTTTTGTAAAGACATGAATGAATGCAGAGAGTTTTGTTCAGACCTCCACTATCTCTCCCTGCAGCTAATGCTGAGTCTGTTAGCTTATAGCAGTGTGTGTTTGGTTTTTAGATTTGTTTGCCTGTTTCACTTACTAGCTTGACTTTTTTGCCTGAAGTATTCTGGCATTCTTCTGGCCAATATATTGATTATTGTGCAAATCCATCAAGATGATCAATACTATTTTAATTTTGTTTAAATATTTAACATATGCAAAACGTTATTACAGACTAAAAGTAACACTAACAGAGAAGCCATCAACTTTTTTTATTAGTAGTATTAGTATTCGTCTATAGTCGTATAATATCATGTTAATAATATAAATTTTTTATTTGCTGTGTTGACACATACCAAATCCAGTTATTGAATTGCTTCAGGCAAAACTTTATTTTTATCACATATGGGGGGACAGGAGTGACCCCTTCTAAACAAGCATTGTGTTCAGAATTTCATGCTATGCTCCAGCACATAACTTTCTTTAAACCTTTACTATGACTTGAAATATTTCGAAGCTCATTGAAAATAGCCTCCATGATTTTTCTCTTTGTGCACACAGCAGTCGTGGTGCAGGAGGGATTGTGTGTTTATTCTTCTGACTGTCATCAAAATGAAAGTCTGTTGCTTGTAGTGAAAAATGCTAAGGCGGCATTATGTGAAATGCACTGCAGACCCAGGCTTCTGTTTGTTAAGTCAGTGTGCATAAGGCGTTGAACTCCTGGTAATCCTTCCCCGCTGTAACAAAAAAAATCCTGTTTTGCACGCACGACTTTGTTGATGTCATTTTACAGAGAATTTACTGCCTCTGACATATGACATATATGAATTTGGCTCATCCAGGAAGTGTTGCAGTTCAATTTTTAAATTACACATACAGACTTCCTGTGTCAATTAGAAAATAGTATATCAATAACACTTTTTGTACACAAACCTCAGTTTATAATAATAGTTTTGGGATAGTCTCAAGACATTTTTCACACCACGATCAGTTGCAACATAATGATGTCTATTTTTTTTTTATTTTTTTTTTACCGTATGTCACATCTGCTCAGGAAATGGAAAAAAAATTAAAGATAAAATGTGACATTTTTGTTGGATGTTGCAACGATATTACTCATGATAAATCTCACCCTTCTCTTTCTTACCGTAAAGTGATGTGTCCAATGCTCTGAAGTTTATTGAGCACTTTGCAGTGAGTTTTAATCCAACATACTTTACATGTTTTTGTATTCAAATGATGAATTCATGATCTTGGAATATAATAGACATCACCAGTCATCACATACATGTTTGGTGAAAAAGTGGCTTTCAGATTTATGAACACTGTACCATTGTCATTAATAGTGGTGGTAGCGTTATGCCGAGCTTCTGCTTTGCTGCCAGCGGTACTATTGAATTGCACAAAAAGGTTGAGATATTGGAGGAGCACTACACAGTACTTTCAGTGTTAAATGTCAAGTTTAAATTGATCTTTTTCTCTTTTTATTTTGGTGCAGGATCCGTCGGTGCTACAAACATGAATGAGCACAGCTCCCGCTCTCATGCCATCTTCACCATCACCATCGAGTGCAGTGAGAAGGGTGTGGATGGTAACCAGCATGTGCGCATGGGAAAGCTTCATCTTGTAGATCTGGCAGTAAGTATGAATAATAAAAGCTGCTTCTTTTTAAACTTGAACGAATACTTCTAAGTAAGCCTCGCTGCACGTGTTCTGCACAATCTCCGCCAACTGCCGCTTATTCTCAACAAACACAGGGCTCAGAAAGACAGGGCAAAACCGGAGCCACAGGCCAGCGTTTGAAGGAAGCAACGAAGATCAATCTGTCCCTCTCCACCCTGGGTAACGTTATCTCCGCCCTGGTGGACGGCAAGAGCACTCACGTCCCGTACAGAAACTCCAAACTGACCCGTTTGCTTCAGGATTCACTGGGAGGAAACTCCAAGACCATGATGGTACAGCTTCAGTTTGAACACAATATTAGGAGCCTTTTTTAAAATGCCATGTCTCACGTGGATTAATTGTTAGGCTGTGTTACGGTATTCTGATAAGGCTTTTGTGTCGGATTTAAAAGTACTATTTGAAAAAAATAAAACAACCTTTAAGCAAGTTGTTCTTTTACAGATATTAAAGGCACATTTCTGTATTGCATTTCTTTGATGTGATATTCTAATTTTATATGTATGGTTTTCAATAGTTGTCAGGGTAAAGTCGTTATACCTGTATCTATCTTAAAATTTTACCCAACATACCTTTCCCTACCAGTGTGCAAATATAGGTCCTGCAGACTACAACTATGACGAGACCATCAGTACCTTGCGCTATGCTAACAGGGCTAAAAACATCAAAAACAAAGCCAGAATCAACGAAGATCCCAAGGACGCCCTTCTACGGCAGTTTCAGAAAGAGATCGAGGAGCTCAAAAAGAAACTGGAAGAGGGTAAGGAGCTAAATAATAAAAATATATATATATAACATGCAACATGCGTGTTTTCTTCAGAGACTAAAATGTTGTTGTTGTTGTTGTTGTTTGTGCAACACTAGGGGAAGAGATTTCTGGGTCAGAAGGCAGCGGATCAGAGGAGATGGACGAAGGGGACGATGATGCAGGAGAGGCAGGAGAAGGCCGACGGAGGAAGAGGGGTAAGAGTTGATCATTAATGAGCACAGATTGTGGAAAAAGTTAGACCACCCACATTTTGGTGTGACTAAAACAAAATCTTGTCTTGCAGTTCAGTGTGCGGTTTTAGCACAAGAGCAGATAACCATCTACATGATTTGCATGTAGCTTGTTTGATCCGTCGACAGCGTTTAATGCTAAGCAATTATTCAGCTCCTAAGATCTGAATCAAGTCGAAGTTGTTTTGCAAGGCATGACTAAACCTGCATTTAACCTTGTAGTTTGCTCATTTAGGAGTTCCCCCCGGTATTCTCAACATGTACCTACTGTGAGTGGTGTGAAAAAAGAACGAGAATCATTTTGTCGTTGCAATAGAATTCCAGCTAGTTAGTTTATTTTTATTTTTAGATTTCTTTGTGATTTCAGTTTTAAGTTGTTTCTCTGAGCTTATCTGGTCTGTTGAGTTAGCAGTTTGCATGCCTGTGCCTCCAGCTTTTTCACTTGCAAATTATTTTCGCCTTGTTTTTCTGTTCTTAAACTTGTAATCACATTTTCCTACAACTGTTTATGGTTTATCTTTCTGTCATGTTTCTGTCTTTGGGCTTTGGGACTTCTTCTGCTTCTTTTTCAGACAGTTGTGATATCAGCAGAAGTAATAGTTCAGAATTTACCGACACTTCCTCAGTGCCGCCACCCACTGACGCCGACCTGCGGGATAGTGAGTTGGAGTAGCCCTCTGCTCACCAACCAGCCTGCCCACAAATTACAGCCCTTTTCACACATGAGCACAGAAATTTTAAGCTTTTAATATATTCAATCCAATGTGATATTTTTGCTGCTGTGACTACACAATCATTTGCATGTTTTATTTTATTTCTTTTTTCTTTGTGCCTATTACTTTTCCTGACTTATATGGCTGTTTTCTCAAGGAGAAGAAAATAAAATATAAATATATTAATATGCTCCTTGGAGTAAAAATTTCTAGAAAGCTGAGTTTTGCAGCATGGCAGCTGCTTAAAGATCTTTTGGGAAGTTTAGCATATTCAATCCCTTAAATCTGTAGACAGCAATCCCTTAAATCCAGTCAAAGTTGTCATATATGTGACCTATACTTTTACGTTATTAATGCATGTGGTTCAACATCTTTCTGTAAGATGTTGAACACTTTTTAGTAACACTGTAAATATCTAAAATGGTTTGGGTGATGTATAGGTAGGTGGTTTTCCTTAGGGGGTTTCCTGTTGCCTTGATGTCAAGTCTACAAGCTGAGTCAGAGACAGTATTTTTTTTCTCTTGCCATAGATGTGAGATAATATGAAAAACTGAGCAATGGTGCAAAATGTTGGAGTATCACAGAGTTTTCTTCAAAGGCATTTTAAATTGAGTGACTGACAGTTGATCTCAGTCATATTTAGTCACTGGAAATTTGATACGGATACTTGAACCAAATCGATGTGATTAGGTTCTGGTGCAAACAGAAAATTTTAATCTGACCTTAAAATAATAGATAAACAGTGCAGCAGCTGCTCTTCAATAATATGTTTCAATAAAGTGAGTTTTGCATCATTTGATGATGCAAAACTCATCAAATTTTCTTAACACTATCTACCTATCGACCATCTAGAATCAGGTTGTCTGCAGGTCATTTAGCACCACGTTCTCCACCAACATGCTGTGCGCGAACGGAGAAGGGTGACCATTGTCCGGCCACGCCCCGGCCCAGTCACGGAAGGCTCTCCTCGCCGACCGGAGTCGGACTGTTTTGTTGACATTCCCTTTACTGCAGCTCCATTTAGAGGATGCACAACGTAACTCCAGCCTCTACTGTAGCGTCTATTCTATGCACCTTATAATGCGGTGCGCCTTATATTTGAAAAACGTTTTAAAATAGGCCATTCATTGAAGGTGCGCCTTATAATCTGGTGCGCCTTATAGTGCGGAAAATACTGTATTTAGGATTTATCCTAACCCTAGAATAATCTAAACTAATGATTATTGGCGGCCTTAGGCCTGGTACAAAGGCAGATAAATACTAGACCATTTCTGCTGTCACTAAAACTGCAGGAGTTTATAATACTCATATTAAAGAGTTGAGCAGCTAAGACATATCTTTAAGTATTGGACATAAAAATAATTTCTGTCCAGTATATCAGAGAACATTTTCGAAATCATTTCCACAGTTAAGAACATGTGTAAAAAGGGCTTTTGTCTTTTCCTCCTGTCTTTATCACTCCTGTATTATCACGGCACAGCTCCTTACCCTTATTTCATTTTTATTACACGGATATTAAAAGTGTCTCCCAGGTTCCTGGCGTGACCCACTTTGCAGATTTCTGTCTGACTTATCTGCTCAGTGGCAGCAAATCTTTCTAAGATTAAATACTTCTGTGAATGCTTTGCCCAGAACTTTGTTTCACATTTTACCTAACTGGTTACTCCTTTGACATCTCAAAGAGCCTCAGCATGAGCATCGTCTAACCAGATTGTCGGCTTTCATCTCTAACTTGCTTTATTATGTGAAGCGTTTGCCCCTAACCTCAAAGACACAGTTTGCCCACGTCTTGTTTCGTTATGTATAATTAAATTCATCTCTCTTGACTGGCACATAGTTGGTCTTGCTGAAAGTTTTTGTCAGTATTTTTTTCACTGTTTGACCTCTTATTTGGTGCCCCTCCCCGTACATGACTTTCTAAGTCACTTTGTAATGCTTTTTTTTTTCTCTCTCTCTCTCTCTTTTTCTCTCTGTCCTCCTGTTGCAAATGATGCCTGTTTGACTTGCTTTACACCTCTTTATTCAAGGCCAAAGAGGTTGGTGTTAAAACATGGTTCTAAGTCATGTAGCAAACAATTACAGTACAATTTAAGGAGATTCAGCCAATACTGTAGATCACTCCGATGGAATTACTGAATAAGAGACGATTGCTGGTAACATTTTTCTGTCTGACTTTCAAGGACGGTTTTCATTTTCATCTTTATGACAATCACTCATGGTGTTGAATCTCTCATTTAATAAAATTTTTTTTGGGGGGGGAGGGGGGATACATTACACATTTTCCCACATTGATAACTTAAACTTTGATGTAGTTTATTGAGATTTTATGCGATAGACCAACATGCATCACTCTGAAGTTGATGGAATTGTTCAGAGCTGCACAATATGTTGATTCACAATTGTCTTTAGAGTATCAGTGTGAGCAATGTTACAGTTGTGCAGGACTGCATGGATGCAATATGCAGCAGGAGCTTATGTTTTAAGTGCCATGCATGCAAATTCTGCCTCCCAATAACATTTTGGACCTATTGTGTGGACTTTCGCTTTCCTTGATTCCCATAATTAATGTATGTCTTTTAGTTGTGCAGATGCTAAATGTCAAAATATGTGAATATTGGAACAAAATAATGGATATGCACCCATTGTGTATATTCAGTTATCCATGCAATAGACTTTTAGTTGTAACTGAATGAAAGGTGAGCAACAAAATGCACGCCTCAGATTTGTTTTCCTTTGTAAAATATTTAGAAAATCAAGCATGATTTTCCTTCTACTTCACGATTCTGCCCTTTGTATTATCACATAAAATCCTAATGAGATTTTATTTGTGGTTGTAAAATGACAATGCGCAACGGCTTAAAGACACTGTCTAGGTTTTGTTAGATACTTATTAAGAATTTATTATTGTGCATTTGTCACTCCCCTAAAAGAATGACAAATCCATCCTTTAGCATCCATTACACCACCATCATTCCTTGACAGTGGTATAATTAACTGAAACTGTGCAAACCATGAATTACCACTAATACTTTCTAAGACGTATCTGACAGACTTTTGATCATATCCTCTGTTATCGTTTTAGGAAGGAAGAAGGTTTCTCCGGACAAGATGGTGGAGATGCAGGCAAAGATCGAGGAAGAAAGAAAGGCTCTGGAAGCCAAGCTGGACATGGAGGAGGAGGAGAGGAACAAGGCAAGAGCAGAGCTGGAGAAAAGAGAGAAGGATCTTCTCAAAGCCCAGTGAGTCATAAAACTTTAAAAAAAAAAATCGTACATGGTTATTGAGGTCAAACACGGACATCTCAAGTGAACCATTTTTAACATATTTTAGACAGGAGCATCACCTCCTGCTGGAGAAATTGTCGGCTTTAGAGAAGAAGGTGATTGTAGGTGGAGTGGATCTTCTCGCTAAGGCCGAGGAGCAGGAGAGGCTCCTAGAGGAATCGAATAACGAGCTCGAGGAGCGTCGCAAGCGAGCAGAGCAGCTACGCAAGGAGCTGGAAGAGAAAGAGGTACGATCTGCTGCAAACCAGCTCCTTGGTACCAAACCACTTTGATTAATAGATGACTTGCGTTATGACTCAGGTTTTCTCTACCTTATACAATTATGGCATTTTTGAACTATTGGTGGTATACAGCTTCTAGCCTGATGCAGCGATGAGGACAGTCTGATTTTGTATCTTATGAGCAACAAGTAGCCAGACAAAATTCTTGCAGCTTTTACCTAAAATCTGCTGTCGGTGAAAAATTGCAAGCTGTACAGGATATGAGACCACAATGCTGAATCATTGTGGTTATAAATAAAGTTACCTCTCAAACTCAGATTCTCACATTCTTATTTTACTTATACTCCATGTTGGTATTATCTCATCAGCTCGCACTGATGCAGAATTTGGCTTTCTTTTTTCTTTGTAAAGGAACCTTCTTAAACTAAACCATATGTACGGTGGGTACGGAAACTATTTCAGATCCTTTTAGATTTTTCACTCTTTCTTGGAAAGAGTGAAACATCTTTTCAAGAAAGGAAAGATTTTTCAGACATTTGCTGAAATCTAAAAAGTTCATATTATTTCTCATTAACGTACACCCAGCGTCCCATCTTGACAGAGGAAAAAAAACCCAGAAATGTAGAAATTAAAAAAGAAAAACTACAATATCACTTAGTGATAAGTATTCGGACCCTTTGTGTGACACTCATATTTAACTTGCATGCTGTCCATTTCTTCCGATCCTCCTTGAGGTGGTTCTGCTCCTTCATTGGAGTCCAGCTGTGTTTAATTGATTAGGAAAGGCACACACCTGTCTATATAAGACCTCATAGTGTATGTCAGCACAAATGAGAGTCATGAGGATGAAGGAACTGGCCAAGGAGCTCAGAGACAGAAATGTGGCAAGGCACAGGTCAGGCCAAGGTTACCGAAGAATTTCTGCAACCTTAAATGCAAGAAGTTTGGGACGACCAGAACTCTTCCTAGACTTGGCCGTCCAGCCAGACTGAGTAATCGTGATGAGAGAGGAGGAGAAGAACCCAAAGGTCACTGTGAATGAGCTCCAGAGATGCAGTAGAAAGGTCCACAAAGCCAACTATCACTGCAGCTCTCCACCAGTCGGGGCAGAGTGGCTCGATGGAATCCTCTCCTCAGTGGGAGACATAAGAAAGCCTGCATCGATTGCCAAAAAACACATGAAAGTCTTCCAGACTGTTAGAAGTAAGATTCTCTGGTCTGATGAGACGAAGATTAAACTTTGAGGATCTGCAAGGAAGAATGGCAGAGGATCCAAAAATCCCAGCATGAAAATCTTGTTGCATCATCACCAAGAAGATTATGCAACTCGCTCGAAAGGGTGATTCTACTCAATACTGAGAAAAGGGTCTGAATACTTATGACCATGTGCTATTTCAGTTTTACTTTTTTTAATAAATTTGCAAAAACTTCTATATTCACATTTCTATCCTGTCAAGATGGGATGTCCATTAATGAGAAATATGAACTTTTTGATATTTATCAAATGGCTGCAGAGTGAAAAATGTGAAGGGGTCTGAATATGTTACAATGTGTACTATATTGTACTGTATGTTTTTGTATAACAAATGAGCTTTCTCCCTCCATAAACAGCAAGAACGTTTAGATATAGAAGAGAAGTACACAAGTCTGCAGGAGGAAGCTCAAGGAAAGACCAAAAAGCTGAAGAAGGTGTGGACCATGCTAATGGCTGCCAAGTCAGAAGTAAGTCCAATAAATAACAAAATGACCTTGGAGTGAATTGAATTGTTTTCGTTGGAATAATTTTAAGTAATTATTCACACTTCTTTGCGACGTTAGACTTTAGCTCCTATTCTTAGTTAATTTACACTAGATCCTTTTTTTTTTTCCACTTGGCATTAAAAGAATGTCATTTGTTGTGCAGAAACATCTTTGAAGTGACTTGAAATGAGCTTGAGAGCAGATTTTTTTTCCCCCCCCTTTTTGTGCCTCCTGTGATCTGGAGGTTGATACGTTTGAAGTTAGTCACATTTACTGACTTTCCCTGCTTCTGAAGTAACAAGATACCTCGATAGAGATGATGACGGAGTCTCAGGAGATGAGTATCATCTCAGTGCCTGCTGCCACTTGAACTCTTTGTTCGTAAAGATACTATTAATCCAGTGGCACAAGGAGTTCATTTCCACTCACTGTTCTTTTGGATCTTTGAAATTGTTTAAGCTCTTTTAAAAAAAAAAAAGACAGATTCTGATCCAAATTATTGACAGGCCTCTGATTTGGTCACCTTGCAACTTAGTTTGTCTGAGCTGGTATCTTATTCCTACGCCCCATAAGGCTTTGCGTGAATTATGGGCGCGACTTCCGCCGCAGGCCGGAACTGCCATTTGTTTACATGTTACCCTAACGCTAACCGGCTCTCGTCAGAGCTTTGAGGCTATGAAATATGTGGGAACACCAGCGATCAAAGCTTAAATGTGACAATATCGGTTTACCGCAACCTACAGCTATTGCGGGGAGAGATGACAACCTGGAGAAATGGCCCCATTTCGTCAAGTCGCACTAGCATATGTAGCTACTTCACTGACTCAGTTGCTTCAGATGCAGATGTGGGTTATCTTGAACTTGCTGCAGCCACAAACTAAATGTGGTCTGTTTATTAGAGTACAGCCACGAACAGCACAACAGTTACCTGAGCTCCACAAGGGCATCTTAACGACACTTTCCAGTGGCAAGTTGCTCTCAATAATAGGTTAATGTGTGATTCGGTTCGATTCTAGTCCAGTGGGGAGATTCAGTTGTTGTTCAAGATCTGGAGCTGCAGTTATTTCTCTGCTGATTTGCAGCGACACTCAGCAATGAAGAACCTCAAAGTTCTGGTTCTGATGAATTAAATAAATCCAGATATTTTAATTTGTCTTATAAATCAAATTTCCAGGCCCAATCATAATTATAAATACTCAGATCATGAACTTTTTTTTTTTTTTAATTCAAACGAAAAATAAAATTCACATCACACCAAGCTAATGTTGTGTAGTTTTGGTGTTTAATACTGTCGTCGCAACTCAGATCTATAACAGATCTCAGATCTTCTCTGCTTTATCTTTATTACTGTCAGTTCTTCAGAGAAACTAGCTGCTAGCAGCGCTGCTAATTTCACAGTCACTCCGTTACAAAACTTAACGGTCATGTTCCTGTCGCTCCCTGTGATTAAACTCACAATTACGATCCTCTGTACTGAGCATCTCTCTGAGCATCACTCTGATAGCAGACGGTGTGTCCGTAAACAAGTTTTTCTAAATATTGTATTATAACCAAAAAGAGAGATGTAAATCATATGTCTATATCATAAATATAGATTAGCAAAAAACCCTACAAATTACAATGAAATGATGCTACCTCCCTAGCCGCCGGAAGTAACACCCATAATCGTTTCCCCAGTAATCCTCCCAGGAATAAGGTCAATAGACTCACTAAGAGGGAATTTCAACCAAGATGGAAATGTACTGATAGAAACCCATGAAACTTGGATACCACATTAATAAGCTGCTGCCTTGTTTGCTGTACTTTTTGTTTGTTATTCATTCATCATGCACCATTAGCTCGTCTGTTTTTGAAGCACATCATTGTGAATTGATGTGTCAGTATTTTATGAGATCTTTAAATTAATTCAAGAAATATCTTTGGTTAGTTATTAATCACTTCTATTTATTATTACCCTTATCATTTATAATATGCTATCTTGCTAAATTGATAGAAATGAGTGTTTCTTAGAAAAACTTCACTTGCGTATAACCATAAATAAATAACATAAAACACAGTAACTCATTTTGCAGAGTCTATCCACAGACGAGTTAGTTTTGTTGTCAGAGATAACGCAACATTTTCTCACAGTAATTTTTTTTTTCTGATGTATTTATCAGATGGCCGATCTGCAACAAGAGCACAACAGAGAGATTGAGGGCCTCCTGGAAAACATCCGCCAGCTGAGTCGAGAACTGAGGCTCCAGATGCTCATCATAGATAACTTTATTCCCCAGGAATACCAGGTCTACGTTGTTGTTTTTTGTTTGTTTGTTTGTTTTTAAGGCTTTTGTTTTATACATACTGCAGAAATGTTACACATTCCTGTTGTTCAATTTAAAAATGTTTGCATACCACAAATTAATATGTAATCCATAATCTGCCATTTAAAGTGGGAAATATATAAAGTCTCATCCTGGGCCAGACAGAAAGAAAGGGTATATACAAATTGTATGTATTGTTGAGTTTTAACAGTTTTTATATATATTAACATGTTTTACACCTTTAAATTTGATTAGAAGGGGATGTTTTAATCCCAGCCCCCTGACTGACGGATGCCAGCACACATACACACACACACACACACACACACACACACACACACACACACACACACACACACACGAATGCACTGCAGCCTGCAGCTAGAGGACATTTCTCATGCACAGTGGGCTTGAACCAGAGCAACCTTGAAGTTTGTTAGTTCAAGAAAATGTAAAAAAATAAAATAAAATAAAATTCAGAAACTAAAATGATGTATTGTTTACTGCAGTATGCTGGGAAGTCTGTGGTATTTTAGTTTGAGTGAAAATCTGACCTAGTTTCTACTTTCTAGGCGATGATAGAAAATTATGTCCACTGGAATGAAGATATTGGAGAATGGCAGCTGGTGAGTTGAGATTGCACAGTTGTGCAGTTGGATGAAAAGCTTGATTTAACCTTTGTAATGTGTTTATTTTTTATATTCTCCAGAAATGTGTGGCTTACACTGGCAATAATATGAGAAAACAAACCCCAGTGCCAGACAAGAAAGAGAAAGATGTGAGTTTCAAAAGTTTGTCATCAAATGACTAATCATCTGGATGTTTAGTTGGCATTGAGGTGCAGTATTGACCCTCTTCTTTTTTGTCTTCACCACTGTTAGCCATTTGAGGTGGATCTGTCCCACGTGTATCTAGCATATACAGAGGAGAGCATGCGGCAATCCCTGATGAAACTAGAGAGGCCCAAAGCCTCTAAAGGCAGTAAAAGTGGCAGACCGAAGACCGGCCGAAGGTAAATTTGCTCCAAAGCAGACCTTGAGTTTCATGCACCACTGGACTCTGCTCTTTCAGCAACCTTTGCCATGTTTGTTTTTTCTAGGCTCGTTGTTTTAAAGTACATTTTTACTCTTTAGAATATTGACAAAAATACGCAAATAATACCAACTTGCACAGTACAGTTTTGAACAACAGCGTGTATGTTCAAAGCTTTTCTCTCCACAAGAATCAACCATCTGTTTTAACACTGACTGAAAATGTGAAGCTTTTTTTTTCGCCTTCCGTTTCTTATCAAATCAGAAAAAGACATTTCCTAACATGACTGCAGTTTCTGCTTCACTTTTTTGTCGTCTTTTTTTTCTCTTTTCTTTACACTTGAGCATCTTGTCTATTTTAATTCTTTCTTGAGCATCTTAAATGCATTCGGTTTGACCTTTTCAACTCATGCTGAGACCGAACCAGTTTATCCCCAAGCCTTTATAAACACAAGCAAATAACAAAAAAAAAAACAACTGTTCAATAAAATCTCCCATGTCTGCATAATAAAAACTATGTAGAGATAAAATAAAACTAATTACAGGTATGAAACCTTTGTGAGGTGATGTTTGTACGTCTACTTCCTTGGTTAAGTGATTAATCATCCAACTGATTTACTGGTTGTTTCTTGAAAGTGATGCAGACCATCATATCTGACAATAGATAATAGCATGCATATGTTGCATTAGGTCTCAGTGGTGTTACCAGAATTGCACCCACCTCATTTTAAACTCTGTAACTCTTCCTGTGTTTTTTTTTTTTCCATTTTTTTGTTCGCCATTTTGCAGCATTTTTTAATACTTTGCGTCTTTAAGTTCTATTCCAAACAAACTCTGCTAAATGTTATTACTGTTGCTGATGCCTCACCTGTCGTTTTCACTTGAATTTTGCTCATGTAAATTTCAAATTTTTTTCTTTCTTTGCTATTGAACGAAGCTGCACAAGAATTTTTTTTTTTATTTTTTTTTTTGTGCAACTATTTCGGAGGCCGATACATCATTACATTTTTTTTATATATATATGTGCGTTTGTTAAAATTACGCAAAAGCCTGATCGAAATTGCTGATACGGTGGTACGGCGCTGTTCTCAGAAATCAGGAAACTTAAAGCCACCCAAGGATGTTTGATAACAATAATCACGCGTCCATCTCCCCACAGGAAAAGATCCACAAAACCAGACACAGTGATCGATTCCCTTCTGCAGTGATGATGTGGAGGTCAACATTTCACTACAGCTTTACCTTGACTTCAGCTTTGATGTAACGTAAAAAAAACTATTTAGTCCTGCTTATGGTCGAACAGTAATAGATTTTGATCGCACACTGCACAAGATGGTAAGGTTTTAAATGTGATCAAGCGGCACCTTTTATTAGGAGAACAACCACTTGAAAATAGGACACAACGAAAGACGATCTGCTTGAAGCAGTGCCTTGCAACTGTCCAGGCCTCTTCTATTGTTTCCACATTTTGCCACATTGGAACCACAAACTTCAATGTATGTTGTTTGGATTTTAACAGAGACAAATGCATAACTGGGAAGCGTAATGGAAACGACGCATTGCTTTCAACATTCCTCACAAATGGAGACCTGAAAGTGTGGTGCGCATTTGTATTCAGAGCCTTCAGGGTTTTGTCTCTACTGGCTCTGTATGGACAAGACACCATTCACCTTGTGCAACATTGTGGATGCTGTGTTTAAGATGATGAGATGCAGTATTAGTTTATCGCATAGCAATTTCCAGGGAGGACAGGTAGCTCTCGCGGTTTTTTATTTTATTTTGTTTTTATAAGCTGGATCCTCTAATTGGTCTGCAACAAACTGCAACAGGGCTTTATTTCAGCAGTGGCATTCAAAGACCAGATGTGTGCAAATAGTAGTTGACCTGACAACAGGGTCTTCCAACTGAGCTGTGGAGCTCTGCAGCTCCTGCAGAGCTACTTGAGACTGACCTGTTAACATTCTTCCTTCATAAAGCAGTTTTATACTGAGATTAAATCACATATAGATGGGCTTTGTTTTACACCGAGGTGACTTCTGAAGTTATGTTGCATTTTATCTAGGGATATCAGAAGGAAATGGGCTGAAAACAAATGCACGCCACACTTTTTGGAAACTATGTACCATTTCCTTTACATTTTTAATATTCAGCACCTTTGGATTGTCTATGAATAATTTAAAGTTTTTGTTATATCGTGACAAAATGAGAACTGGTACAAGGGGAGTTAAGGCTTTTGCAAGGCGCTTCAGTCAGATTGTTTGAAATGACATCACAACGCTGGCCTACAAACAGCAACACCTTTAAAGCTGCTTCCAAGTGTCCTGTTAAACACATTTATCTCAGAAATTAAACTTTGACTGTTTTGCTTCTCATAAATTAACATATTTCTGTTCAATGAAAAACTGAATACACTCTAATCGGATTCTAGTTGGTCAAATTGTTCTATTGCAATTTAGTTCAATTCAGCTGAAGCGCGTAAAACTTTCTAAACTGTTTTCTTTAATAGGTCAGAAGCATTAAGGGCATGCATGCCGTTTAGCTCTTATGTCTGTGCCATTTCCTTCACTTCAGTCAAGTTTTTATTTTCAACACTTGTTGTGATGCACCATAAATCTATGTATCTGTATCCCTTATGCACTTGTATGGCTTTTTTATGTTTTGGTCTTAAGTGGATGTAAGCTAGCTTTTTTTGTTGTTGTTGTAGTGTATGTCAAATGTTTACACCAACAAACATCTGGATTTTATTTAATAAATTATTCATGTCTGATCTCAGGTTCTTGTTGAGTGGTGATGTCACAAAGTGATGTAATGCACCCAGGTTCCCTGTGAAATTATGTCTGTTCATTTAAAGATCTTAGTCTGGCTTAATCTAAAAATTAAAAAAAAAAAAAAAAAAAAAAGCTTGCATAACACATTTATCACATTTTGATTTATTAATGTACTTTTGAAATATATAAATATAAAAAATAAATATTACAATAACTTAAGGTGCATAATTCTTCATCGGGTCCCTTCATCTGGTATTATTTAGGAGACGATTTGCGCATTTCTTCACATTCAGAACAAACTGTCTTAGTTGATGATAACCCATTTCATCGTTCAGTTGGCAGTTGGTCTGAGTTCTCTGAAACAAAATCAATTTGACAAATTTAGCTCCAAAAAAAAACACACACATTCAGTTTTCCTAAAGTAACTTTAGGAAAAAGCTTTTTGAATATTGTTTAGATTGAATGCTAATTATTCTGTACATTGTTGTATTCATGCAAGTACTTCCGTAGGTCTTTAAACCTGGGTTGAGTAAGATTCTTTTCCACAACCTTTTCCGCCAAGCAGAAGAAGTGGGGCTGTAAAATATAAAAATCACTGTTAAAATTAGCCAACAGAGTTCAGACTTAGAGAATCACTCGTGGTCTTTACATCTTAACTCATTCAGATCAAAAGAAAAGGAGTGTAAAAATGAGGTTCTAAACTCATTTTTACGTAGATAAAGACAATAGATTCCATCGTCATTATTTGTTAAATTGAGAATTGTAAAATCTTATATTTAGAGGGAATTAACCCTTTTTTCATTTTATCATTAATCTGTATGTTAATGGGTAAAGGTTTAAAGATGTCAAAGACCACTGTGACACAAATACAGCCATCTAAAAATATTTAACTTTTCCACATACCCTACACGCTTCATTATAAACCCTTGGCACCAGTCCATTTAGGTCCTAAAATAAAAACAGAATTGCTTATTGTCAAGCAGACCTGGAAAAATAAACTATTAAGTGATTTGTAGTATTCTTACCTGGGTTAACAGTTTGTTAGATGCATTCTTAATGTGGCGCAGCAGAATGTCACACTTCTCCTTGTCTGGACAGCTGTGCACTGATGCTGAATACACCGCCACGACCATCATCACACCAATAAATACGGAGCACTGAAACGCAGAGGTGTTCATGTCTGTCTCTAAAGAAGCTACTAAGTCAGCTCTATCAGGTTCAGCAGAAGAACTCGATTCTCCTGCATTGTCTCAATACTGCTGCTTATATCTGTGTCACAGCACTGTGGTCGGCAACGTCAGAAAGGGAAACACCAAATTGGGACAGGATGATGAAGAAGTCTTATCTGGCTCACTTACTTTCCACTATAGAATTGTATATTTACCAAGAAATTTACGCCTCCAATTTCTGCTGTCCAGGAAACAATGACCACCTTCATTGTTTAGATATGCAAAATGAGCTGCTTGCATGAGAAACTGAATGAAGTTCCTCTTGAAGTTTTTGACACTGATCTGCTAAAGCCAGATCACACACACCATGAAACAAACTAATCATGTGACAATTATTCTACGAGCAACTTTATTGAAACGAGATATTATTAGTTTATTACTAAAGTAAGACATCCTTTTCCTGTGTGACATGACAAAATGACTGGTGTGTAGGCACATGGGAAATAATTAGAGGCGAGCTTTTAACTTGAACCCACGCATTAGTAAAGGGAAAATGTGACAGAAAAAAAAAATCCTGTTGGTGTCAGTTTGTGCATACTTCTGCTCCTGGGGAACTGCCTTTTGTTGTTAGAGTGCAGAAAAGTTATTATTACTTCGTGCTGTGCACAAAATATTAGTAGATGAAAGATATCCAACAATCAAAGAGAACGTAAAGACAAACACAAGTATTCTACTAATATGATTATTACCCAGCTGAAGTTGCAACACTTCATTGCTATTTTGTTAAGCTGGAAATAGAAGCCAGCCTGAACTGATTGACATCGAAAGCAAATGGGCCAATCGTTCTGACTGGAGCTTGAAACTATGACCTAAAATATGTTAGTTATCTTTGCAAAATCTAGCATCCATCTTACCACACTCCACCACTTCTGATAAAGCATACGTGCATTTTTTACAGCACCGAGTGGCAACAGTTTGAGCTCCATCTGGAGGCGAATGTTAAATCAATCAAGACCTACTACAGTTTATCTAAGACTATGACACAGGACAGGACAAAAAAAAGCCCTCTAAACATTTACTGACTGGAGGCTGCGAAATACAGTACATTCACTCTTTTTTTTCCCCCAAATTTAAATGTTTCAGATCAAGCAATTTTTAATTCCAGACCAGTATAATCTGAGTAAATAGGATAATCTATTATGGGAGAAAAGATGTCGTCACGACTCCAGGTCTAGGAATTCAGGGAGTGACAACGTAAAAATGTTTACAGAGAAAAAGAAAAGGTGAAATTTTATTACAAATAAGTGTTTCAAACAAAACAGTACACTTGGACCCAACTAATGGGGGAAAGTGAGGGAGCAGTCAAGTGTAGCTTCAGCAATTAAGTAACCAAACAAATCAGTCTAAAACTAAAAACAAGTCAAAAGAAAACACTAAAGGAGCACCAAGCTTCCCAAACACAAGCTTCTAGATTGAATTAGTCAGTCAGTTTCAGAATCAATCTGCTAAACGGAGCAAAGTGGGTCAGCTGAAAAAAAATACTCCAAAGCTGCCCTAAACAGTCTTCAAAAAGGCTAACAAACAAAGTGACAATCAACTGCACAAAGCCTCTTCCTCAAGCTGATTTCATGAGCGTTTTATAGGGTGCAGGTGGACCTCATCGTCGTCTGATTGGGTCGGTGATCTTCTGCTGCTCCAATGGGGTCGCTTCCCTTCAGCCTCCAGCAGCAGCAGCCAGTCTGTAGAGTGTGCTACCACACCTGAATCTGCAAAAACAAAAAGAGACTGCACAGCCTCTGGAGGCCAGGGGGCCTCAACAGGTGTCCACTTCCTTCCCTTTTCAAATCATGAATTAATTGGGAGGAAGCGTAGTTTTTGGTTCAGCTTTTGTTGTACATTTCCCTACCTGAAATTTTCCTTCATCAAAATCAAAGTCTTGGATATCCAGAAGGGTTGTCCTCAGTGTTTCAGATACCTCAAAGTCCTTCTTCCTTGGATGAATCCTGTCATTTTCCCTGTCTTGTCTTGGACAGCAACCCAGGTAAAACACTGCAGGCGTCTCTGTTTTAGGAGTAGCTTGACAAAAGGAATGTGACATTTTCAGCCTTTTTGTATAGGATCGTTTGTACGCCGTGGCTCTTGATATGCTGACGCCAACCTCAGTGCGCTCCTGGAGAACTTTATGAAATACTACTTGAGTGGATGTTCATTTACATTCCTTCTTGTTGTTATCAACTTTGCATGAATATGTTTGCATACATCACTAAGTGAAAAAACAACTTTTTCTTTTTTTTTTTTTTTAGCTATCAATGACCTCTGGTGGCCTTCATTTCTTGTCTGAAATGTCAGTGATTGTCTTCTAAGCATTGATCAAGTCCCTGTGATTGTATAGGCCATAATATGGCAATTACATATTTTTGTACATTAAAAAGGTTGTTTTTTTAATTCAGTGTTGTATAATATAATTTTCTAAGATGATGAACTTAGGATTTAATACACTTTATTTGTGGGATGCCTCTGGGTTTTTGTTTTAGACCCTTTAGAAAGAGTTAATATTATCTTTTACCTAAATGATCTTTGGAGGACTTTCAATATTAATGAACTTCTAAGAAGACAGAGGAGTTCTAAAAACTAGGCACCAAACACTGCATGTAGGCATATATTTCCAGTCAAATTTGGACAAACATCCAAAATTCTTGGCAAGAAACATATTTTTTTTTCACATTTAAGTGCTATTTCAAAGATAAAAGGGTATGTGTTAAATAATTATTTATTAAATTTAACAATGTCTGTCTTTGATTCCATAAAAGATTGGAAAATGAAGAGCTGAGATAAATTTCTCTCTGTTTTTCAGATGTTTCTGAAAAGACATTTTTTTTTTTAGAAGATTGTTTGTATGGGTGACATAAAGGTTTTTCTTTGCATTTTTGTTTCCAAATTGCTCATACAGTTTACAAGCTTTATCAGTGGACTTTCTGTCACTCAGGGTGACCTAATACCAACACGGTTTAGTTGACACAAATAAAAAAAGTAACAAGAAAGAAAAGGGAATGTCCCAGTTATGGTGAAATGAGTGGACACACCTCTGACAAGATGCCATAAAAAAGTAGACAATGATTAATATATTTCAAAACTTTTTCCAAATTTATTTTGACATTTTCAAGCTAACTAAAAAAATAAAAAAAACATGTTAAAAGAACAAATGTTAAAAATAAAATGGCCACAGTGACCCATTTGATAAAGTTTGCAAAAATTAATCAGAAAGGATCAAAAGCTTGTGTGCACGCATGTAGAATATTTTATGCTTAGAGGGAAACGAGCTCAACTTCTGGGCAACGATCTCCAAACTTTGAGTTTGGCATAGAAACAACACTGAACATCACCAAAAAGACCATTCCCATAGGTGGGGACAGATTGATTTAGGGTTATTTTTCTTCAGATGGAGCTGGTTAAATGCAAAACAGTTTTGACCTAGACCTGTGGGAATGAGCTTGAAATGTGAAGGTAAAAAAAAACCATCTCATTTTCAGCATGTCTGTGCGTCCCTGCTTCAAAAATACATTGAAAAACGGCTTAATGAAGTTTCTGGCCAGCTGCATTCAAAAGAAAAACCGAGGAAGGTCACAGATTTTCTCTGAAGAGAGATTGTGAATAAAAAAGAGGTTGAGATGCGAGTCTTCTATCTAGAAGACTTGAATCTGAAGTTGAATCAAAAACTGCATTAACAAAGCATGTGTGTGTGTGTGTAACTTTTTCATTTGTTTTCATTCTTCCTAATAAATTTTTGTTTTCCAGGAGAATTGCACATGGTTAATGTCACATTGTATGTTTTGAAAAGTTTATCATATTACATCAGAAACTGAATATGAATCATCAGTAATATAACAGAATAGAATTTATATATTTCTTTATTTTGCAGCGTCTATATCTGTAGATGAGTAGTAGTAAAAAGCATTGCAATGTAAAGTGAGTGTGTGAGATATGGCACAACTGATTAAGTTACACAATTACTCCAGGTTTTTCTTTTTTTTTTTTTTTTTTTGTTTTTACTGTAAATCTGTAGAATTCGATTAATGTGGCTTGTATCTGCGTAAAACATGACCTTCAGGAAAAGTGAGTCATTTTTCAGTTCTCCATCAACAAGGTGAAAATACATGATTACACCAGCTAACACTAATTATAGTGGTAGCTGGTGTCTTAGCAATGGGTTTCTCAGATTGAATGGGGACTTCCAGCACTTTGAGGATCTCAGATCACTGGATTTAAGTCTAAAAACAATATAGAAAAATAGACAAAGACTGGGCATGATATGTCCATAAAAGAATGCCGTTGTTAAGTCTGGAGGACTGAGAAGACTACTGCGAAGCTCGGCTTGATTCATTAGTCTATTGTCAGTTTATTGTGTGATAAATGGACTTTCCTTATCCAAGCAACACTATCATCTTTGCTCTACTTTCACTGGAATCTTTTGCTTCCTCTAGGCTCAGCCAATCACATCCTCAGAGGCCCTGACGCTGCCAGCCAATAGGAATACTCGCGCGGTTGAGACTGGATGCGCCATTTTACTGCGTCCACAGTCATCCGGCAAGATGGTCCCTTGCTTTGTTTCTTCTCAGCGGAGTTATTTCGGCTTTTAGCCCTAAATTTTTAGCTTCCACACCATCGAAATTTAGTACATTGGGTTGACCGGGGTTTGCTGAAGTAAAACAATACCTCGCTGCCGTACGTCAGGAAATGACGACTGCTGGAAGCAGGTATGGAGGTTGTTTATACTGTTTGTTTTAGACGAGCCATCTTTGCATTGATTACTGTGTTGGCTTCGTTAGCAGCAAGCCGGGCCATGGCAGCCTTGATGCTAGTTAGCACGCTAGGCTAACTGTGCGCTAACCGTTAGCTGCGCAGCCGGCAACATTGAAGTCCACAGACATGGAGGGTTGAATGCTTGCATGCATACACCCGAAGTGTAGCTTAATACAGCAAAAAACGTTTTAACATAAATTATTAATGAAATGTCTGGATTTGTGTTGCAATGTCGACAGCTTAATGCAGCACAGCTAATAAGTGTGGATGCTACACTGTAGTTCCAGGCTGCAGGGCGCGGGTTCGTATCATGTTATGTCCACATAAAGGAAATGAAGGCCCGAATGGATGCTCATGCACAGGACCTTGCATGCAGAACCACCAATGCAATCGTGCCAGTCTCAAATGAGCCAAGGAAATTCTGGTTTCAGTCTTAACCAAGTGCTAAACACGCAAATTGACTCGACGTCACGATAGTCATGAGTTTCTGGGTTGTCAAAACTGGGAGATGTTTTAGTTGGGGATGAATAAGCTGCAGACGACGGAAGAACAGAAAACCAGGCTTGAACTTAAATTTTAATCATAACAATTAAATTTTTGATCTCGAAACTGAGCGATAGTTTCTCTCATCTAATGCCATGCAAAGTAGGTTGATGGTAAACAAAATGTGTTGTGCCTCCGTCTCAAGTATTTTCTACTGTAAGTCGCTGAGTAGAAACTTGACCTATATGTAGAATATAAAATGTTTTTGATTACAGTCAAACTGGGAACCAAGGGATTTGATTTTTAATTTTTATAAGCAGTTTTTATAAGATTTGACTGTAACTGTAACTTGTAGTTCATTGTCATTTTTAAATTTATTTAGTTTTTCTAAATAACTTTGATTGGTCACATAAAACAAGTATATTTGCTTGCTGCTGATTTCATGTTGGAAATGGATGTTTCTTTGCTAAATTTGGGAATTGCCTTCTTACGCAATTCTGCTCAATTCTCATCTCCCAAATCAAAGCGTTGCTCAAGGGGGCAGGTTTTTTTGTTTGTTTTTTTTTAACCAGGCTAGTGAAAGTGTAAAACAAGCAAAAAAAAAAAAAAAAAAAAGGGATTCACTGATCCGGCCATTCCTAATCGATACCGATTTCAATTTTCTTAAAAGCCAGACCTATCAGTTCTGAAGTTGTCTAACTTTTATCCAGTTTTCTTTCACTTTGTCATTAAAGGGAAGAGTGTGCTGCAAAGTTTAGATTTGTTGCACTTGATGAAGAACATAAAATGGCTGCATTGTTTTTGGTGACTTGAATGCATTAATGTGTTATCGTTGCGCTCACAAAACTGTCTGTCTCTCCAGGTAAAATGAGTCTGGCTTCTTCCGAATCAAACCTAGATCTAATGGGAGAGAAAGGAGAGGAGGTGAGTTTGCCGTTTGCAAGTTTGAACACTTGTCGTAAACATATTTTTCATTGTTTATAAATTTAAAATAAATGCTGGTTTCCGCACAGCCTGGGAGCTCATCAGAAAGCATGAAACCGTCTTCTTCTCGAAGCAGGAGGTTAGAAACTGACTTTTAATTTATGTATATGTCTTTTATTTTGCTGCTGTATTTGGTACTGCTTAAAGTACTAAAGATGCATGTCTACACAATTTAGGAAGCCCACCAATGTAACAAAGCACACAGAACAGAAAGACTCTGACGCCTCGACTAACGGCGAAAACGAAGGAGCCACTTCTGACAGTAACACAGGCAGTGGATCTAAAGGTAAGAGTTGTGCAGTGTGAGTTGGACTCATTGTAAGTTCTGCTGTAGCTGGAATGAAGTGCGATCTTTGCGTTTCTGCCGTTTCATTTTCTCAGGCACTTTAGTGATGAAACCGAGTGGGAATGAAAGCAAAGGTGCCATGAAGCTCAGAGTGGATTTCAAACAGAAAAAGACAGGTGATCTTCTGCTTTTATCCAAATGTTTCAACATAAATCTGATGCATTAATATTAGAAAAAAAATAAGAAACCGCTTAATTTGCTGGTCACAGATGATACCCTGGAGAAGAAAGTTAACTGCACAGCCTGCGGAAAACAAGTAAACCAGTTTCAGCGCAACTCTGTGTACGAGCATCCTATGCTCAAAGTACTCATTTGCAAGGTATTAAAATGTATCTTTATCTCAGTGAACTTCTTAAATATTTGTACTGTTTACGCATTGCTGATCGTGTTAATTTCTATTTCTGCAGTCATGTTTCAAATACTACACAAGCGATGACATCGGCCGGGATTCTGATGGAATGGATGAGCAATGCAGGTGGAGACAACCAAAAGAAAATTGTTTTGCAACATGCTGAAGTAAAAAATATGTCAGAATGTTGACAGAAAAAAATAAATAAATAAAACGGACTTTTGTCTAATTAACTGTCGCTCTTAGTTACCAAGCAGAAATGGGTGAATGCAAGAATGAGAACAGCAAGAATTATGTGACCAGCTCTGTGCTTGTTCAGTCCATTCTGCTATAACTAGACAGTTACTACTTTCTAATGCTGGAGGCTTCTTAAAAGGATTTTGATAACCAACATTCCTGCCTCGGATCAGCAGCAGTGTAACCATTAGACGACCTTCGAAACCTTGAAAATAGGTGGGAGCTTTCTCCTTATCTCTAAATGCTCCCTAAATTCCAGCAGAGTAAAACTACAATAACCTTTATATAAATCTAACTACAGCTGCAAGAGGCAAAGTAAATTCTGTTTTTCAGGTTGTACAAACAATTAAATATATTCTAAAATTCCTCTTACACAGAATTAAACGGATGCGTTACAATGCCTTGCGAAAGTATTTACACCCCTTAACCTTTTAATTTCAACCACAAACTTCAGTGTATTTAATTGAGTTTAATTTGATAGACCAACATAAAGTAGTGCCTACTTGTGAAGTGGAAGTAAAATAATGCAAAGTTTTCTATCTTTTCCCCCAATACTGCTTAAAATTTTTCCACCAAGTTCTCCCTGACCTGTCAATTGGTCTTTTGTCTTCATATTTCTGCAGCTTTTTAGCAAACCTGTTTTGCCTGCGAGACAGACTATGTAGCCTAGATGCTAGTATTGGTAGCACTGGAACCAACACTGTTTGGGGAAAAAAAAAAGTAACATTCCTGTATCTGCAGCAGTGAAGTAGTAGTCTTCCTGGATAGCATAAGGTAGTTTGCAAATTAACACAGAAAAATTTGCATCTACTGAGAGCTCAATCAGCTACTGGATAGTAAAGAAATTATCAGTACACAAGCATTGGCTAATTCATGGCTAATAATATAACAACTGTAGCAATCTAATGCGATTAAAGATGACCAGAAACAAAAACATTGAACAAAACTGCTGCTGAACATATTTGCATGAGCCAAATCCTTGTCTGAGTGTAGAAAATAGTTTAGAATGGAATAGTCCTTTGTGAGTCTGGCTTCTTCCGAATCGTCTGTATTTAGCTCTTTAAAAAAAAAAAAAGCTTTAAAAGCAACATGTAAAAAAGTATTCACTGTTTAACTTGAAATATTGTCTAAACTTTGTCCTCAGATGGTGTGCTGAGGGTGGAAAGCTAATCTGCTGTGACTACTGCAACAACGCTTTCTGCAAAAAGTGCATACTGCGCAACCTGGGCAGGAAGGAACTGTCCAGCATCACGGATGAGAACTCCAAGTGGCACTGCTACGTGTGCCGGTCCGAGCCCCTCCAGGATCTGGTCTCCAACTGCCACAGCATCATGCAGAGGAAAGAGGAAGTGGAAATGAAGCAACGAAAAACAGATAAAGCTGAGGAGCGTGAAGGCAAGAAAGAGAAGAAGAAATCCCCCAAGGAACAGAAAGCAATCGCAAATGGGAAAGAACACGGTGAAGGCTTGGGGACCATGACTTTCTCCTATAAAAATCTGCAGATACCCAAAGATCTAATCAAGAAGACAAAGAAGCTTGTTGAAACTACAACCGGGTTAAATAACACTTTCATTCAGTTCATCCAGCAGGCGACCGACGACCAGGCAGACGCCACCATCAGGTATCGACATTTGAAAGCCTTCAAGGCGGTGCTCTCAGATCTGAGGAAAGCCCACAATGCCTTGGAGGAGGCTTTGAAGCCCGAGTTCAGAAACATGGAGCTGCAGAATGGTACTGAAGGGCAACATGCGAGAAAGATTGGCAATGTTGTGGAACCTGCAGAAAACAACGAGATGGATTGTTCTGCAGATTCACTTCCTGGTGAGGACGGTGAGCAGCATAATGAAGTCAAGCCAATTTGTGACACAGAAGAAATGAAGGAGGCTAAGCAGCCGCCTGATGAGAATGATTCAGTTTGTAAATCTGGCAAAACCAAAAAGGTGTCAAAGGAGCAGGACAGTATAGCAGATTTAGTTGGTAAGACGGAGACGGTTGAAGAGCTGCCTAACGAAATGGAGATTTCAGTAAAAGAGTCGCCCAAAAAGCCGTCTAACGAAACAGATTCAGTTGATGAAGCAGAAACGATGGACGAAGGGATGAAAGAGTTGGATAACCAGCAGGACATAAAGTCAGAGGACAAAGTGTTCAATAAGCCTGAAATGAAAGACCACCAAACAGAAACAAGCGTCCCCAAAATGACAATTAAGAGCGAGGTCTTTGACGGTGAGCCAGTGTCTACTGCTGAAACGTCCCTGGATCACGACATTATGTCTGTTCCTCCTTCAGTACCTGAGGAGCTTTTCCAGATGGTGGAGAGCCTCGCTGACTCCTCCTTGCTCTCACAGACCGATACCAGTTCAGTGAAAGACGTGGATACAAAGTCAAATGAACATCCTCCAGAAACCCAATGCCCCCAACCCAGAGTTAAGAACCTGATAGTCAAACTGACTCCTGTACCAGTTGTCAAAAGCAGCAGTTCTAGGTCCTCTAGGTCGAAGGACAAAGAAAACGCAGAACAGCCGAGCAAGAGTAAGGAAAAAGACGAGGATAAGAAAGACTCCGATTCTAGTAGAGCAGAAGAAGCTGACAGCCCACCACCGACCCGCCGCTCCAGTAGGGTGAAGACCACTCCTTTAAGGAAGCAAGGAGAAAATAAAGGCAAGAAGGACTCCTCTGAGTCAGAATCTGACGGAGACAGCAAGGCCAGGGCCAAGCCATCAAAGAAATCCAGTAACATTAAAAAAGAGACCAAAAGTTCAGAGAAAACATCGGACGACTCTGACTCAGACGAAGTTCCTCCCGTTCTACTGGAGAAAGCTGCAACAGGCAACAGCAGCACAGACGAGGAACAGGAAAGCACAAAGGCTAAAAAGCGTCTCTTCAAATCAGACACGTCTTCGAAGGACACAGAGACGCTAACCAAACGCAAACGGAAGTCTGAAAGCTCAGGTTCAGATGCAGAGCGTAAAGACAAGAAGACGTCCAAGAAGAAGAAACAAGCCAGCTCGGACAACTCGGACTCTGATTCAGATGGAGAGCTTAAAAACAAGAAGACGTCCAAGAAGAAGAAACAAGCCAGCTCGGACAACTCGGACTCTGATTCAGATGTGGAGAGTAAGAGCAAAGCAGTCACAGCTAGGAGGAGGTCTAGCCGCGTCAAGAAACAGGAGAACTCCAAGGGCCATGAAAAAGACTTGTCTGAAAAGAAGCAGAAGCGATCTTATGAAAAGAAGCGGAAGGGAAGGAGCCCAAAAGCTGCCTCCAAGCTACAGTCTTCATCTGAGGAGGAGGAGGAGGAGGAGGAAGAAGAGGAGGCTGGAGGTGACTCCGGAGAGGATAGTGACCAGCAAAAGATCAAACCCATTGTGGAGGATAATGTACTTGGAGGCAGTGGAGTCTTCAATCAGTCCTCAGGTAAAGTTGTTCAGTGTAGAAATGTTTACGCTTGGCTTCTCCCAACATGCAAAGCCGAAGCCTTTCCTCATCGCTGCTTTCAGTTTCTACAAAGTTTCTTTTAGTCTCTGAGCCTCACCGGTTTGCACTAAAACATTTTTTTTTTTTTTTTTTTACAGAGATGCCGCGATTTTAGTTCCCCCCCCCCTCCTCCCCCCACACACACAATTTCATGTAATTAGAAAATATCGTTGACGGTGAACTGAAGTACATTTTACTTTTAAAGAACTTCATAATAAAAGTGCTGATGGCTTCATTGGGAAATAATGCTGTTTTTTGTTTCGTTGCTAGGAGACGAGGTAGACACTAAAGACGATTCTCAAGTTTTTGAAGACGACGACGACGACCCTGAGAACAGGTACTGGGGAAATGCATCGAAGATATTTAATAATTACACACAGGTGACCTCCATTTACTAATTGCGTAACTTGGGAAGGCGAACTAGTCGCAGTGGATTTTATTTATGGGTATCAAAGTAACAGGGTATGTCTTTCTACACACTTAGGATACCCTGAATGTTCAAACCATGTAGATGTTGCTACCTGTCTTGAAAGTCATCATTTTTCTTTCCATTCAATAATTATGCACCAGTTTGTGTCGGTCTGTTGTATAAAACACAAATAAAATGTTCAGAAGTTTGTAGATGCACTGTGACAAAATCAGAGGAATGAAAACAGGCAGTGCTGGTTCTAATTGAGGCTACAGGTTGTTAAGTAGAAATGTTAAACCTATTAGTTGGGTGCTCCCGCTTCTGATGGCTTATTGCTTTATTTAACCTTAAACACTCACATGCTGAAGAATAATTTATTTCCCCGGACTCCTTCAGTTTAGGCAGCATTAACTGGTTGAAACCCAAACAGCTTCTCTGCTGCAGAATTTTGTAATCTTAACATTTCAGTATGTAATATTTTACATTTTTATTAACAAATAACTAAGTGGAGCGACATCAAGGTGCTCAGACTAATTTGTCTGCAAGTAATCTCTTCATTTAGGGAAATGTTTGCTCATTAAAAATGCATTTAGTCGTTGCTCTAACTTACTTTAAACCAACCGATTGACTATGTTTCAACTTTGAACTTTGATAGTTTGTGGATCTAAAAACACTTTGTGCTTGTTTTTGATTGATAAAATGCATGGCATCTTTAATGGGGCTTTTGTTTCCCTTTTTCTCAAAGGATTGCAAAGAAAATGCTTCTTGCACAAATAAAGTCCAGTTACTCTTCTGGAGCAGAAAGCTCCTCTGACAACGAAGAGGAAGACACGAAAAAGAAATTCTCCAAGAAAGCTAAAAAAGGAAAAGAGGACGACGAAGAGGAGCGAGGTACAGTACAAACTGAAATATACAAGTGCAGAAATATTCAAGAAGACCAATTGCCTCCTATCCTTTGATAATCTTTGCTTCTGTCCTGAAAGACAATGAATTTACAGAAGACTCTGAGTCTGACGTTGATGTGAAGAAGCGCGGCAGTCGGCACAAATTGCTCCGTCATAAGCTCTCCTTGAGCGAGGGTGAATCTGGAGACTCGAGCAAGGAGAAGAAGAGCAAGGGCAGCAAGAAAAAGTCTTCACGTAAAGGTAGATTCTGGCTTTTATCAACGGGACTCCCCAACTGAGAAAACCAGTAAGTGACTTTGTTGCGTTGTTATAAATCAGTTGGCAGCGACGACTCTGAAGACTCAGACTTTGAGAAGTCGGCGTCTGGTTCTGCGTCGGGGATGAGTGAGGAGGTCAGTGACTCGGAGGTGGACAGCAAGCGTCGGAAGACCAGGTGAGAAAGCGGGATCTTGTCCAAGCGGTCATTTACTTTCTGTTGATTAGACCCGTTTTCTTTTGGTGGACATAAAAGAAGAAGAAAATGAAACATGCTTCCTGTTTTTATTTCTGTAGATCAGCAAAGAAGAAAGAAGATGAGAATCAGAGGAGCTACAAGCAGCAGAAAAAGAAGCGACGCAGAATCAAAGTTCAGGACGACTCCTCCAGCAATAACGAGAAGGTGTTTTAGATGCAGCCTCATAAAGTTTCTTATTTCTGGAAGGATTGCTTTGTGGTGGAGACAAACTCAACTAAAGTTTACTAGTCAAGTCATGCAAAGCTTCTAAACTTTCTTTAAACTTGCCCTGCAGTGTGTTTTGAGAGTTATTGGACCCATAAATGGATCTTGGGGTTTGCTCCCTTACTGATAATAAGGACTAGCTCTTTGCACCAGAGGGCTAGAGATCAAAGAGCTGAGCTTAATGTCCTTTTTCACAGAGCGGAGAGGAAGATGGTGAGGATGCAGATGGAGAGGGGCGCAAAGGTCGGAAAAAGATCCGCAAAATCCTCAAGGACGACAACTTGAGGACAGAGACGAGAGACGCTCTGAAGGAGGAAGAGGAGAGGAGGAAACGCATCGCTGAGAGGGAGGCGCTCAGGGAGAAACTCCGAGAGGTAAGCATGGACGTTCCTGCTGTTTTGGGGAAAACAAACCTTACACACAAGGTTTGTTTACCATAGCAAGATTATGTTGAATTTTTCTCATGTTTGTGTGCCTTGCTGCTGAGGACCAATTTCATGCTCATGCAAAAATAAATAAAAATGCTGTTTGTTTTTTTTTTGTTTTTTTTTTTTGGCCTCTTGATCCTTTCAGATCAAGGTTTTTCTGAAATTCTGATTTTATTAGGATTTTTATAAAATAAATGTTTCACAGGATAAAATTAGTGCTGTAATCTTAATGAGGAAAGCTCAAACTGGAACAGGTCGACAATCTGTTTCTTGTGGGCATCAATTATTGGAAAAAGATGCAATACTGCTACCACCAGGTGGCGGCAGTGGGAGAGCTGAGTGGTTCAAAATTTACAAGTAAAACCTCATTAAATACAACTCATGAAAGTACGACTGTACTGTCACGACAACTTTGAAATGCTACCGGAGTAAGAATGAGATTTTTTTTCATGTTCATCAATTTGCACAACATGCTTTAAGGAACAATTTACAAGTGGGGAACATTTACAAAATCCAATATGAAAAATGTCTCAGAATGAGAATGTCTCTTTGGGTAAAATTCAGTAATATATGATGCGGTGGTCTACTTTTATTAATAGCCATTAACCCGATCAGTGGGTACAACAACTGGTACGTAAACTTTGCAGTTTTTTTTTAAAACTTGGAACATGGTTAATGTCGTTACCCATGAACTATTGGCCTCTACACTTTACCTTTAATAGAGAAATGTTTTAAAAGCACCGTTCTCACTTTCACAAGAGGAAGCTATATTTGGTGCTGTTGTCTAATTGTCATCGATTTTAGCTCGACGCTCGAGCTAAACTAGTGTTGCTAGCTGTATCAATCTGCCTGATCAGCTGATTGAGTCCAGTAGTTTTTTTTTTTTTTTTAAATCTTCTGCAGGTAGGGGAGCCATTAGTGATAACATCACAGAACCTGCCTTGGAAAAAATCCAGTCATGTCTCGTCAGTTTCTCAGAATGGTTTAATTAGCCTTTTAAAATGGCTTAGAAAACCTTTTTTCTAATCATTAGATTTTTATCTTCCCGTAATCCTCCTACAGGTGGTCGTAGTAGAAGAAGCCTCCCAGGTGGCGTGCCCCATCACCACCAAGCTGGTCCTGGATGAAGACGAAGAGACCAAGGAGCCGCTGGTTCAGGTGCACAAGAGCCTCGTCACAAAGCTCAAGCCTCATCAGGTCGATGGTGAGTGAATGCCGCTGGGATGAAAATGAAAGTTTCAGGCCAGTCTGAAACGATTCCCACTCAGTCTTGTGCTTGGTTTCAGGTGTTCAGTTTATGTGGGACTGCTGCTGCGAGTCGGTGAAAAAGATTCAGAAGTCTGCAGGCTCTGGCTGCATCCTGGCTCATTGCATGGGTCTAGGAAAAACTCTACAAGTAAGAAATGGATTCATTTGTCTGGATTTTACATTTTACCGAAGCTGGACTGATGTTAAAAGCAACACTTACAGGACATTCAAATTTGTATCTTTAACATGTTTGTTTACATAAAGAAAATTAAATTTGTCTCAATTTGTTCCTCCAACATTTACATGCGATCTTCACTGCATGAAATTGCTAGAGACTTTGTTGTTAATGTCGCACTGCATTCAGCTGCTGCACCGAAACTTCTCCAAGTAATTCCCAGAGTTGGATTTTTCTTACAACATTGCTACATATTGCAAATACACAAGACAGAATACCTCTGATAGGTGCTGTTTTTATCTCCAAAGCTGTGCGATGTGGCCGTTTTTAACTGTTCCCGTCTTGGCCTGTAGGTGGTGACGTTCCTCCACACCCTGCTGCTCTGTGAAAAGCTCGACTTTAGCACAGCTCTAGTGGTTTGTCCCCTCAACACTGTTCTTAACTGGCTCAATGAGTTTGAGAAATGGCAGGTGGGACTGAAGGATGAGGAGAGCCTCGAGGTAAGAAATGCTCCTGTTTATTTTTTATTTTTTTGCTCCTGATGTCAGTCTGTCAAAAAAAACAAACATGTCTATATTTGATGATTTGTGTATTTCTCCCCCTCAGGTAACAGAGTTAGCCACAGTTAAGAGGCCTCAGGAGCGAGCCTATGCTCTCCAGCAGTGGCAGGAGTCGGGTGGCGTTATGATCATAGGTTATGAGATGTACAGAAATCTGACGCAGGGACGAAACATCAAGAGCAAGAAGCTAAAAGAGACGTTTCAGAAAACGCTTGTGGATCCAGGTACAATTTGTGTAAACAATAAAAAAAAAAAATCTCTTGTGGCTTTATTATGGCTGGAAGGTTGGTGGTTGGGATGGAGGTGTGAGGTAATCTAAATCTGAGGTTCACTAAGGTCTAGATTGGATTTAACAATAAGGTCAAAGCAAATTCCTTTGATTAAAATTGCATGAAAAATGCCATCAGAATTGGCCTGAAAATACTCTAGACTAATAGAATTAGTCTATTCTTATTTTGGACAGTAAAGCAAGGAATCTAGCTAAATTTGATTTAACTTAGTTACTTTTTATGGCTAAATAAAACTAATTCATTTATGAAAAAGAAGCTGATCTTAATGTGCAACAAGGTGCTGTAACGTCTTTTTTTAACACATTGTTTTAGGAGATAATCTGAATTTTGTTAATGTCTAAAGTTCCAGACACTGAGAATAATTGAATGTTTTTGTAATATAAACTTGTTAGTATTTTTCCTTTACTTATGAGCATAAAGTAAAAAAAAAAAACCCCTCTTAGATAGTTGAAATGAACACATTTATCACTATTAAATCATCTGCAATTGTGGCTAACATTGATTTGCTTCCCCTCTGTTTTGATATGACCCATTGATAATTAGACACCTGCAGAGATTATGTAGGAATTTTCTTTGTGAAGTATAGAAGTCTTTTTCTAACAAATTTCTTAATTCTGCATGATTCCAAATTTTACAGTGACTTTGTGCCCAATGCCATAGTTTGTTTTGTGGCTTAAAAACAAGTTCCTTCTGGGTCTGGATTTGAGGATTTTCTGTTTTACTGTAGCTGAAAAAGAGGTCTCTGTGAAGCTGATAATGTATAATTGTCCTAATTTTAGGTCCAGACTTGGTGATCTGCGACGAAGGCCACGTTCTGAAGAACGAGGCTTCTGCCGTCTCCAAAGCAATGAACTCGATCAGGACGAGGAGGAGGATCGTCCTGACTGGAACTCCTCTGCAAAACAACCTCATTGAATGTGAGACACTTTTTGTGTCTTGGACTCCAAAATTGAGATTTAAAAAGAAGAAAAAATTCTCAGCATTTTGCATGAGATTTAAAAGTTAAAATCTTGCTGCAGCAGGTGGCAGCTCAAACTGAACCTGATGTTTCTATAAATTTCTCAATGCTTGATCAGTAATAACGCATTTTAATTAATTCAAGATGTAACGTGTCCTCTTCAGACCACTGCATGGTGAACTTCATCAAGGAAAACTTGCTCGGGTCGGTGAAGGAGTTCAGAAACCGCTTCATTAACCCCATTCAGAACGGCCAGTGCGCCGACTCGACGCTGCATGACGTCCGGATTATGAAGAAGAGGGCGCACATCCTCTATGAGATGCTGGCCGGCTGCGTTCAGGTAAGAAGCTCTCAACCAACGGACTCGGCCTCTGCTCGACCTTTCTCCTTTTCACCTCTTGGAATAACGCTTTGTTCCTTCTCCCCGCTCAGAGGAAAGATTACTCGGCGCTCACCAAGTTCCTGCCTCCCAAGTACGAGTATGTGCTGTCGATCAGAATGACCCCGCTCCAGTGCAAACTCTACAGACATTACCTGGAGCACTTCACAGGTGAGGATGTTTGGGGATCTTTTTCTAATCTTTTGCAGCAGGATCCTGCAGGGCGTCGTGTTTCCAGTAAAAGTTCTCTTTACCTGATGTCAGTTCCACAGAGAGGGATTTCAGAAAGCTCTTCTGGACTCTCTCTCTTATTTTTTGTCATGCATTGAGTAGTTTAGTGGACTTCGCTGTCAGATTGTGGCCCAGGACGTGCGTGTGTGTGTGTGTATATATGTATTAGAGTTGAAGTGGCAGCTGGCACTGTGCCGCAGGCAGGTTTTAAGCCCACTTTCCCACGTTTCTCCCTAATGAAGAGCACTGGGAGAGAGGGAGGGAACAGAAGAAAAGGGGGAGATGTGGGAGCATAAAAAAGGAGAGAAATCTAGCTGAAGTAGGGGCCAGAGGTTTTACACCAAAACCAAAAACAAAGAACAGGAGAGCTTGGTATGCGGT